ACACCATTTATTAAATAGGCTATCTTTCCTCCAATGAGGGTGGTTAGCTCCTTTGTCAAAGATGAGGTGGCTGAGTATGTCTGAAGTTGTTTCTGTGTCTTCTAATCTATTCCACTGATCCTCAGATCTGTTTCTTTGCCAGCACCATACTGTTTTTATCACAGTAGCTTTGTAGTATAGCTTCAAGTTGGGTATTGTGATACCCTCAGCCATGTCTCTGTTGCCCAGAATTGCTTATACTATCCTAGGTCTCTTCTGGTTCCAAATGAATTTTTGGATTGTTTTCTCTAGTTCTGTGAAGTATATTGTTGGAATTTCAACCAGCATTGCATTAAGTCTATATAGTAGTTTTGGAAGTATGGCCATTTTCACTATATTGGTTCTTCCTACCCAGGAACAAGCGATGTCTTTCCATTTTCTTATATCCTCCTCAATCTCCTTTTTCAGAGTGCTGTACTTTTCAGTGTAGAGGTCTTTTGCTTCATTTGTTAGATTGATTCCTAGATGTTTCATTTTTTTGGATGCTATTGTGAAAGGAATTGTTTCCCTAATTTCTCTCTCAGGGAGTCTGCTATTTGTGTATAAGAGGGCTATGGTTTTTTGAGTGTTGACCTTATATCCAGCTACTCTACTGAATCTGTCAATTAAGTCCAGAAGTCTTTTGGTAGAGTTTTTCGGGTCTTGTATGTAAAGTATCATGTCATCAGCAAATAGTAACAGTTTAACTTCTTCCTTTCCTATCTTTATTCCTTTATTTCTTTCTCTTTTCTAATTGCTGTGGCTACTGTTTCCAGAACTATATTGAACAGGAGTGGTGATAGTGAGCATCCTTGTCTTGTTCCTGATTTTAGCATGAAAGTTTTCAGTTTTTCACCATTTAATATGATGTTGGCAGTTGGGTTTTCATAGATAGCCTTAATCAGGTTGAGATAAAGACCTTCTATTCCAATTTTCTGTAAGGTTTTTATCATGAATGGGTGTTGGATTTTGTCAAATGCTTTTTCTGCCTCTATT